ACTTGTTCACAAGATCAAAATTTTTTTGAAAGGAATTAAACTTTCACTTAACTTTGAATTGAAAATTTTCTCAATATAATTTATAGAGTCAAGAGAATCAATTATTTTTAATAACAAATATTTATTTTCTTTATTTAAAAAGATCTTTAATAAAATCTTTAAGATTTTAATTTTATTCTTCAAATTTCATTAGATTTTATTCTTAAAAACTTTTAACACCTTTTGATATCTTATACAATAATTTACTATATTGTAATAAAAATTCCTTTCAAGAATAAGATTCACTTCATTATCTATTTAATTATTTTAATTATTTTATTTTTTTCTCAAAATATGTGCCTTAAGATTTCACATAATACTCCATATTCTTAGTTTTGAATCTAAATCAATTATAAGTAATAATAATGATAACAATAAATAAAAGTAAAGAAGTCAAAGATTCCCACCATTCAAGTCTAATCTTAATGAGTTAAAATTGGCGTTATTCTTTTTGTTTCAATGTAAAGCATCCTGACTAGGACATTAAAACGTATATAATATATATTTTTGACGTTGAGGCATATATTGACTTAAACATATAATAATTATCTACATTGATTTAGCATTTTCATATATCGTGAAGATTTATTTGTTTTACACATGATTTTCTTTTAGGGAAATGGTGTAAGAATAAAATAAAACAACTTCATTATTTGTTATTTTATTTTATTTTACTTTTGAAAAACATTTTTATTATCTATTATTTTTAATAAAATTTTTTTTTGGGAAACACTCCCTTGTTTATTCATTTTAATAAATTTTCTATTTTTTTGAGAAATATTCCCATTACCTATTTCTTTTAATATATTTTTATATTTTTTAGGGAAATACTCTCTTACTTAATCCATTTAATAGTTCTCATATTTTTTAAGAAAACACTTTTATTACTTATTCTCCTATTTCTTTTTTTTAAAGAAACACTTCCACTACTTATTCTCTTATTTTTTCTAGAAATCACTTTCACTATTTATTCTTTTTTTTTTTTAGAGAAACACTAATGTTATAGCCTACACTTTCATACATTACTTGTTTAACAAGTAATTTTTTGATTTACAATATTAAAATTTGCTTATTATCTGCATGAAACATTTTTTGATTTCATCACACAATTTTCATATAGGGGGCAATGAATGCAATTACAAATATATATATATATATAATTTTTTTCTTTCATGAAACTTATATCATATATCTTTAAATTATAAGAATAAATATATTTTATTTTCATATATTTTGCTTTTACTCTTTCATTATACTAGTACACGAGAACTTTTTATACTAAGAATTCTCATGTAGGGGCAAAATGTAGATAGTTGATTTTGGTTACTAATTTAAGATGTTTCAGTGAATATTATTTTATGAAACAGGTGATAAAACTATTTCAGTGTGAAGGTTATTTTATAGAACATGTGTTAAGATTATTTCAGTGAAGATTATTTTATGGAACAAGTGATAAGACTGTTCTAATAAAAGTTATTTTAAGAAACATGTGATAAGACTATTTCAATGAATGTTATTTTAGGGAACAACTATTTATAGAGCAACTTTTTAACATAAAAGCTGCTTATAGAACAACTATTCAAAGAATAACTCTTTTATGAGACAACTATTCTCGGAATAACTTCTTCAAGGAACAAAAGCAACACCTTTATCGAAAACTTTTGAAGCACAAGTTACTTCACTAAAAGTTATTCTACAAAAGATACTTCACCAAATGTTACTTTACTGACAGAAGATAGGAAAATAACTTAAGAATATGTTAGGGTTCTTGGGTTAATTTCACTATTAAGATGTTTCAGAGAGTTTGGCTTGGTAGATCAGATATGGAGATAATTAAGAGGTTTTCTCTTAATTTTTTCTTAAAATATGAGTGCTTCTCATTTTCTTTCAGAATGTAGAGTAAACTTATATGTTTATTATACCTATCACTAAAAGCTAATTAGACTTCATTAATCAGTACATTAATATCTTTTGTAATGGTCAATTTCTCATTATTCACCATTATTCCTATTCAATATTCAAGATATGTAACTTCTATTCTTGAAGACTTATAAATAGGAGTTTTTATAGATCACTGGGGATTTTTGAGACTTTTGCCAAACTTACTTAGTTTACTTTACTATTTTCTCTTTCTAAATCTTTTTTTCAATCTCATTCTCTTTTTTACTTAGTCTTTTACCACTGACCATCATTTGCCGTTACACTTAATATTTTAGGGTTTGCTTTAATCTTCCTTTCTTCGCCGTCTCCCACCACATTTTGTTTTATTTGTTTGCAACGTTTTCTCGCATCAACAAAGAACCTTTTTACAATAGTTTAATATATTTCTCTTTCAATTAAGTCTTTACTTAATCATATTCTTTTCATATTTTGAAATTATTTTTAATACAATTTAACATATGTTAGATAATACTATTTTAATTTATAATTTAAGGAAACTAAAATATTAATTAAAGTTTTAATTAGTTGATCATTATAAACCTAACCGTGAAGGACACCTAATTACGTTGGGTTTTGCAATACACTTTCGGTAAAAGTGTGGTTGCTATAAAAATTGTGTCAATCGTCGTTTGCGAATAATGATGGTAGCGGGTCGGGTCAGGACAGGTTTTTGGTCATCCCGAACACAATCTAATTTTATAGATACAAAACCCGAACCCAATCTGACCTAATCTAAAATTAATAAAATATTATTTTTTAATATAAATATAAAATTAAATATATATAAATATATAAAATTAAATAATTAATTAAAAAATAAAAAAATATATCAAGTCGGGTAAGGTCGAGTTTGGATTTGTCTAAAATCCGACCTAAATTTTTTTTATATTATCCGACCTGACCCGATATAATATCCGATTTTCAAAAAATAAAATCAACCATAAAATGTTTGATTGGGTCAAAACCCGTCGATTTTGGGTTAAATTGACTTATCTATTTGTGAATCTAAATCTTATTTTGGTGTGCCGTGATTTACGTTGATTAGCCATAGGAGGTTGGAGGCTCCAGTCCACTATTTCAAAATACAACTTAAACTTTTTTTCCTGTGTTTTTTTCATTTAAAAATTGTAAAGTAATTTTGTTAATTTAAGATAAAAATAAATTATTATTATTATTATTATTAAATAAATAAAGTTTATTATATAATAGACGAATAAATAAATTTTAATTATTTATTAATAAACTATTATTTAATTTAAAAATAATTTAATTTTTTAAATTATTTTTCATTTTGTAAATATTAAATAATTTAAAAATTTATTACATTTAATTTTTAATCAATGTGCTTAATGATTTTTTTCATTTTACTATAATTTATCTTAATACCATTATTATTTTATATCCAAATATATATCTTACTATTAATTTTAATATTACTATTATAATAACTAATTTCACTTTACCATTATTTTTAATTTCACTAAATTCGGTCTGGATTCTAAACACAGAGGTCACCTACAACCCACCTTTTTTATACACGTGAACAGATAATGTAGTCCAAATGGTAACTTGGCTAGAAAATAGCCAGGCTGTCCTTGGGCGTCCTTTTCTTGAAAAATTTTATGGACTTAACATCTAAAAATGACCAGAAGAATCAAACAAAGGCCAATAAACTTTGTACTTACCCTTGTTTAAAGAGCTTTTAATACTCAAAATACATACAACATTCTCTGTAAGTTTTGAAGCTCCATGTGAAAAAAACAGGAAACAAAACTCTGTGGTCGCCATCGCTCTCTATTATTGAAGAAGACAAAATTTGGCAGTTCATTGAAATTCCATTCCGGGCCATGCTTGACTGATGATGATGATGACGACATCGAGAGCCCAATATCTATTGGCGATCGTTGGTTCAGCAGCCGCTTTGAGCTAACACAATATAACTTGAAGCTTATAATTTCTTAGCCGAAAAGATAACGTTAGAAAAAGTGGTGAATATATATCAATCAAGTTGATGGAAAAGACATTCAACTTATTTGGATTTCACCAACACAGGTGAAGAAAACTTTTGATGCTGCTACAAATTATAGCTTAAGAAAAAAAATTCCAGAAAGTGCTCCTGGAACTTGTTTTTTCCATTATGCAAAAACAGTTATTTAATCATAATGAAGAAATTTTACGTTACACTGCCTTGTAAGTCAAATAACTTCCATGAGTAGGGTAAAAAGTCTATATAAATAAACTATTAAACCTACTCACTATGATCAAGCGTGCAAATTAAATTGCGAGCATAGTCTGATAGCAACTGGCAAGTGTTAAAATTATGAACACCTCAATGATTTAGTCAAAGATGTATCAAAAAATTTCAAAGCAAATAAATAAACAAATTTAAAATTTTTCTTAATTTCTCAATGTGTAGTAGCAACTAAACAGACAAACTGTTAATGTAATAAATTATAATTAGAGATATAAAGCATTATGATTACGGTATGAAGTCGACATAAATATGATTACCATATAGGAGTAATTCTTTCTATGATTCTTTTCTAAATTAATGACAATCATTCGTTATCGTATGTAATATCTTAAATTACAATCTATTGCATGAAAAATACTATTTGTTTCACTACCTTTGTCATAAAATTTTGTATTCACACATGTAATTATTGGTTTAATTGTAATATTTCATTTATGAGTTAATTGTCTTACGCATTAATAATAGACTCCACATTTAAATTTATCTGATAATTAATTAATTATGTGAGATATCGCAAATTACAAAAATTTAAAACAAAGTTGGTGGAAAAATAACATGACTCTGGTTACATTCATTAATTCCATTAACGCAAACAAATAATTGAACATAATGTAAAGTAATTAAATGAAAATATGAAACTATATGGAAAAAGGTAGGAATCGACCTTGAGAAAATTAATCTGCCACTTTGCCAATCTATTAAACTTTCCAAAGCAAGTTAAAAGGTGGTGATAGGGAAACGAAGGTTTTAGATATATAGTAATTTCTTCAGTTTAAGAGTTCCAAAGTTTAGTATTGCTGACATTATTTACTCATCCACTTTGAAGTGGTGACCACCGTCAAAATCCTACGTACGAAGCACAAAAGAATCGACGCTCTTGCCAGCCACTTGCGTCTATGGTTTTCATACCAACGTATTATTGCACAACGAAACTATCACACTCGAGGATCGATGTTGATCCACCACGTGTTCTTATCCCCAACCTGCCAAATTCATACATTTCAATGCGTACGTCACCCACCTTCTCTACGAATATGATTCCGACGGCTGCTTTGAAGGACCCACTTTTACAACGTTACGGTTGAATTCAGTGAACCATTACTCCCAAGCTTCGACCATTTTTTCTGATTTTCTCACCTGCACAATAAATTCCCCTACGATCATTAGATTCTTTCATAATCCGACGGCTCAAGTTTACTCGCTTATCATGAACTTTCCCACGCTTAATACTCTCGGGCCTTGCTTAATTGCTTTAAAGTAGTGTCTTTTTGTTACTCTTTAGCGTTCACTGTCTGTCTCTCTTTTCTTTGCAATGGAGAACTCTTTTTCTTCTTCTTCTTCTCTTCGATGGCTTCTGAATATCTTGATTTTCACGACTCTGGTAACCGTACATGCTCAGCTCCCCGGGACTTGGGAACTCCTCGTCCCAAATGCCGGCGTAGCCTCCATGCACACGGCGGTTACTCGTTTCAACACGGTTGTTCTTTTGGACCGGACCAACATCGGACCATCTCGCAAAATGCTACCCAAAGGCCACTGTCGTTACGACCGAAACGACGTTGTACTAAAAAAGGACTGTTTCGCTCATTCCGTTGTTTTCGATCTACAAACGAATCAAATCCGACCACTGATGATCCTCACCGATACTTGGTGTTCATCGGGACAGTTCCTCCCCGACGGGACACTTTTACAAACAGGAGGAGACTTGGACGGGTTTAAAAAGATCCGGAAATTCGAACCCTGTGAACCAGACGGGTTTTGCGATTGGGTGGAGCTCAAAGACGTGGAGTTAGTTAATGGAAGATGGTATGCAACGAACCAAATATTACCGGACGGAACGGTAATTATCGTCGGAGGGAGAGGAACGAACACTGTTGAATATTATCCACCAAGGAAAAACAAAAACGCCGCCGTTGAACTGAAATTCTTAGCTGACGTGGAAGATAATCAAATGGACAATTTGTACCCTTACGTCCACCTTCTCCCCAACGGTCACCTTTTCATCTTCGCCAATAACAAAGCAGTGATGTACGATCACGATGGCAATAGAGTAATTAGAGATTACCCAGCATTGTCAGGGGGCCCACGGAATTATCCATCAGCTGGATCTTCGGTGATGTTAGCACTTGAAGGTGATTTTTCAACGGCTGTGATTGTTATATGTGGTGGAGCCCAATACGGAGCTTTCACCGAGAGGAATACTGATACGCCCGCGCACGGTAGCTGTGGGCGCATTGTAGCAACTGATCCAAATCCGGGTTGGGAAATGGAGGATATGCCATTCGGGCGGATCATGGGAGATATGGTGATGCTTCCGACTGGTGATTCTTTGATCATCAATGGAGCTCAAGCAGGGACCCAAGGTTTCGAGATGGCTTCTAACCCGTGTTTAAACCCAGTTCTTTATCGACCCGATCAACCGGTTGGCTTACGGTTCATGACTTTGAACCCGGGAACAGTTCCCAGAATGTACCATTCAACCGCCAACTTGTTACCTGATGGCCGGGTTTTATTAGCGGGTAGTAACCCGCATTATTTTTATAATTTTGCTGCTGCGTTTCCAACGGAATTAAGGCTCGAAGCATTTTCGCCTGAATATTTATCTCCGGATCGGGCCAATATCCGACCCGTAATCGAGGGAATTCCCGAAACGGTACGCTACGGCGAGGGGTTCGATGTTTTCGTATCCGTTTCGTTGCCGGTTGTGGGAATTGTGGAGGTTAATTTTGGGAGCGCGCCTTTTGCTACGCATTCGTTCTCACAGGGTCAACGGTTGGTTAAACTTTCCGTTACACCGTCGGTGCCAGATAACGGTCGGTACAGGATTAAGTGTATGGCGCCGCCAAATGGAGCGGTTGCTCCACCAGGTTATTATATGGCTTTTGCGGTTAACCAGGGCGTGCCAAGTGTCGCACGCTGGGTTCATTTGGTTCCTTAAATTTTTATACGCTTTTTGTTTTTGAAAAAACTTATTATTAACCAATATTGCAAGAGATTTGCAATTGTATTAACTTTTCCACGTTTTGAAACCTTCATTTGTTTATATGCAAATGTACTATTTTGTTGTTGAAATTAAAATGAAATAACTTGTATATTTTTTAATTGTCACACTATAATTCATCTGTTAATAAAATATTAGATGTTTAATTTTAATAATTAAATTTGATTTTAGATAATTTTAATTAAAAAAGTAAAAATTTTATTTATCAAATAGAAAAATAAAGAGTGAAGTTTAAACTAAATGCACCAAAAAAAGAGTTAAACTAAAGCATTTGACACTTGAGGGAAGAGGGTGGGTCAAACTAAATTTATGGAAGTTCATTAACATGCGACAAGCACAAGTGTTCAATTCAGAGCCTCACTTGTCTCAATTATTAAGATTAGATTTTTAGTTACTTTCTTCTTTTCCTTTTGTTTGTTTGTTTTTATTTTTTTGGCTGAATAAAAAGCTTGAGTTACTTTTAGTAAAAAAAAAAAAAAGGAAATGCCCTTTTCATCAATGGCTGGACCTGCTAAATTCTTCCCCGTTATGGTAAACGCTGCTGTGCCTACGTCCTGCAGAGACCCCAGCCTCCCAACTTGTTTTTTAGCATGATGCTGGCCACTAATAATGTTGTAAAAAAGGCCGTTTATAGCTTAACATAGACAATTTCTAGAGATAAAGATTGGCTGTTAAAGCTATATTTGATAGTTATTAAAAAGGATTAAACCCAGTTTGGTCATGTTGATACTTCAATGAATTCTTTTTAGTAATGGTCACTAGTAGTTTCTTCTAGTTTTCAATCTCAGTGTGGCTTTGGTAGAATATATAATTGAAGGTGTTTTACTATAGAAAGATATCAGAAGCTGAAGCAAGCAACAAATTGAGCTTACTAATAGGCTACAATTTCATAATTTTCCTTAATTAAAGACTAAATTGCTCTAGGAAACACTAAACGATTACATCAATTTCTTATTTATATAAGACCAGTGACATATAATGTTAAGCCATTGATCCTGCAGCATCATCATCTTCTTCATTGCAATTAGCAACAGCCAAGCTCTGGACATTTTTGTAAGAGTAACGCTTTGCCAGGAAGACATAGATGCACAAGTTAGCCATGGATATAATCGCTAACAGCCAGTAGAAATTGTCTAAGCGGCTGCTGTTCAAATCTTTGCCAAACCAGCTCTTCCCTCCTTTCTCTGTGATGTCATCAACTAGTGTTATCAGCAGGCTGCTAATAAAGTTTGCAGCTCCGATCACGCTCAGGTAAAATGCAATGCCTAAGCTTCTCATGGAATCCGGAACTTGATCATAAAAGTACTCTTGCAAGCCAACCAGAGCGAACCCATCTCCTGCACCAATTATGATGAACTGTGGTGCCAACCAGAACACACTCATGGAGAGGGAGCCATTTACCGGGTCCTTTCTGAGAGTAGCTAATCTCTTTCTCTCGACCAGGCCAGCAACTATCATTGTAGCAATTGAGAAAAGCATCCCAATGCCAATTCTTTGTAGTATTTTGATGCCTCGTTCGTTTCCTGTTACTTTCCTTAGTACTGGTACGAGGACCTTTTCATAGATGATTACGGAGATTATCATGCCAATGGCGGCTAGAGAGTAGATTGAGGCTGGAGGAAGCTGGAAATTACCAATGTTTCGGTTCATAGTGGCCCCTTGTTTGATGAAGAATGTGGAAGCTTGTGCTACACAAATTCCAAATGGTAAGGAAGCTAGCCATATGGGAATCATGTTGAGAACAAGCTTCATCTCCTCAACCTTGGTCACAGTTGCAAGTCTCCAGGGACTCTGTTTGTCGATTGAATTTTCATTGTCCTCAACAATGGCAGCTCTGTCAAGGAAACTGAAAGGCACAGCATTATGAAAAACAATTCTAGTGTCAATATTAAGACAGTTAGACAAAGTTTTTATTCTTACTTGAGTTTCTTGGTGTGGCACAAAAGTCTCCCCTGAGTCTTTTCTGATTTGGGAACTTCATACAGTTCTGCAGGATTTGAGGGATAAGGCAGTTTTCTTTTAGAAATGGCAGCTACAAAAACCTGTAGCATTGGCGTTAAGGGGCTTCCTGATGGCATCCTGTAACGGTAATATGGCCTTCCAATGATGAAGATTAACAACGACCAAGCCATGACTATAGTCAGAATAATATCTGCAACCCCCCAATTCACATGGTCTTGGACGTAAACAATTACGGTGACGCCCAATAAAAGTCCACAGCAAAGGCCAAAGTTCCACCAGTTGAAGAAGGACATCTTCTTCTTTCTCTCTTCTGAGTGATCATCGTCAAACTGGTCAGCTCCAAAGCTCTCCAATGAAGGTTTATGGCCTCCTGTTCCAATGGAGATCAAGTATATGGCAAGGAAGAAGGCCACTTCATGAACCTTCCTAGGCTCAGCACAAACATCAGCATCGCATGCCTTTAAGCTTGGGACAAACCAGGACATTGTCAACAGAAGCAAGCCCTGTTTTTTACCAATGAAGAGTAGTAGTAAGCAAATCTTCAAACAGATCTGATGATGATTGAAAATCGAAAAACTAAAAGAAAAAAAAGAAAAAAAGAAAAACAGAAACGTTATTGTTTGTCTAGGCGATTTACTAACTATTCGACTATCATCTTCTATGGGCTAGGCATAGATTCGGCCTCATGGAATTGATGCAAAAATAAATCATTCCTCCATCAACCCAGTTTCAGTTTGGGTTTAAGCGGAGCCTACTAAAACTAAGTCATCTATTTGCCCAAAAAGTGAGAATAAAACCAGGCCATTCTGGCCCAAAAAGAATGAGTTTGGGTGTAAATTTTAATTTTTGGGGTTTAGGCTAAGTGCAAAATTTTTTAAAATTTTGTGTCAAAAGAAAAAGATTGGAGGCTTTGAAGCTAAGTAGTATTCTTGTTTTAAAGGACAAAAGAAAATTGTGCAATGCTCTTTTGGCGTGGAATGTAATGTAATTGTGAAGGGATTTACCAAAAGGTAGACGATGGTTGAAGCAAGAACCGTACAGAATCGGCCCAAGTAAGCATCAGCAATGAATCCTCCGAATAGTGGCATAAGCGTAGTGACCCCAGCCCAGTAGTTGACACTCCTTGCTGCTGTCTTGAGGTCTTGGTGAATCACCTTGGTCAGGTAAATGATTAAACTTGTCGCTATCCCAAAGTAACTCAACCTTTCACTGAATTCAATTGCTGCCCAGGAATCAAACAGTCAAAAGTGAAAAATAATGACATCCATTATAATTGAGTTGATCGATCAGGGAAGAAAGGTATTGGTTATTATTTGCTTCAATGAATGAACAATAATGTTTATTTGGGTTGAATTCAGAACGCAAATAATTGTGGTAACGACTAATCCGATAATCGGGACATGAATGATATGACATGCACTTTTGTTGTGGACCTTTGGCATCCGTTGTTGTTTTTACAATAAAGGCTACCCTTTGACTCCAAAAAAGCAGTAGGCCCTTTTAATAATACTTGAAAGAATATCATGGAGATTTCTTGATGTCGACTTATAGACATGACTGAAGACCATTATATCAAATTGCACTGTGCTTAAACAAAAAGAGAATCACAAGTTGAGGCACAAGTTTCTTCAAACCCAAATTCATGAAAGCAGTTAAAATCAGGAGACCCGTTTGCTTAGAGAAGGCAGCAGCAAGTCAAAAATAGTGGTACTTCCATTCATCATCCGGATATGGTTATTTCTTGCAAGCTTTTCTTAGCTTTTCTTAGCTTCTGCGGTAAGCAGAGCTGCAGCGTACTAGAATTGGAAGCAGACAGCGGCACTCAATTATTCAGTCCTGTAGTGTCTCCTACCCACCTTCAACCTTATTATCCCATTACCTCTTATAAACACACTTCTATATTAAATTTAGACTATTTTCCATAAGCTGATGTGTGGCTACCTTTTTCCAATTTGAAACTTGCAAAAGTATTCTTAGTTGTAATAAGGACCACTTAATTGGATGAGAATTATGTGAAATTGACTTTCTTACTAGCTTGTACTAATATTCTAAATATAAATAATGGCTTGTATATTTTGTTTTATATTCCATTTATCCACCCTAGCTAGTACCATATACCTAAATTTTGAACATATATTTGATCTCTAATTTCATGTTATAATTGATGGTTTATCATGCATGTTCTCTAATTTGTTTGGAAACTTCTTAATTAGAGTATGAATTACTACATACAACATGAAATTATTTTTTTTTTTTTACAAAAGAGATAGTTTGGAAATAAAAGAATTTAAAAAACGATCGCAGATGTTGAGATTTAATGTAAGAAATATATATTTTTTTAAGAACATTACTGATATTTATATAATTTGAAGATAAAAGAGTCTAAAAGACGATAGCGTTGAGATTTTTTTGTAAGAAATATATTTTTTCTTAAGAACATTGCTGATATTTATACAACTTTACACATTAACGTTGAAAATATTTTTTTCACATTTCTTGTTTTCCATTCTGTTTTCTGGTGTTGGTGGGCCTACTAGAGTCATCAACTGCAGTTGGACTTATTACATACCATTTTAGAGACTAAAGTTTTTTAGAATATTTAATAAGAATCAGAAAAAGTTACTTTGTTGGGGTGACTACTGACTAGTGTCGGCCACTGCTGTTGGAGTTATTCTCTTCTGAAAACTGACACCAGGTGATCTAAAGTACTTGCCAAAAAATCCGGTTTTACATGTAAGCAGAGCAAGGTATGCATTAAATCCAAGCGTATCAAAAATTTATGGTAAAAGTAAAAAAGGCAGACTTTTCTCTTCCAAATGAAGTGATCATCGTGACAAAGAAACAGGACTTAGATTTGTGTAATTTGCCATAAGAAAATTGTTGTTGGGTAAGGTAAGGAAGTAGCATGCAGCAGCAACAACAGCCAAATGAAAGAGAAAGAAAAGAAATTCCTCAAATGATTTTCAATTCCTCTCCCTTTTCATGGCAGCCAAATTGTGGATTCCAAGAATCAATTTAGCTTTCAACTTTGTTTTATCAATTATGACATGAAATATTTATGATAAATTTTTTAATATATATTCCTTACCGAAAATAAAGAGGGAAGCTTTCCAAACACCAGTGGAAGCTCGAAGTGGAACTCTTCCGTTATGATCAACAGAAGAATCATAAACCCATTTCTCTTCATCATCACGAACATTGATATCGCTAATTTCTTTTCCTTTTGTCTGCTCCATCGTCATCTTCCCAGCTTATAGCTGATCTCTTGCTGTAAAGCAAAAGGAAAAGCAAAGCAAGATATAATATAAACAAGATACGGATATATGTATAATTATAAGAAATTTGAAAGAGTACTATGTTTATGTATGTTGTAATATAGGAAAGAGTTGATTTGTGGGAGAAGAGCTAAGCCTTGTACCTCTTTTTATAGGGGAAAATATTTGCTTTCTTGATTCACTATGGTGGGAAAAGAAAAGAAGAACAGGATAAAAATGACACCCACCCCCAAATTTTTATTTTTTTTTAAAAGCATATATGTTCATGTTTCTGGTAATAATTGTTTTGAGAGAAATTTACTCGTTCCTTTCAGCTGAAATACGTCAAATTTGATGTTTACAGATGGAAATGGCATCAATACCAACTTTGAAGAATTCCTTTTTTATGTTGTGCCAAATTATGTCAAAAAAAAAAAAAGCTAATGCCTATATAGTTAGTGACGGTCCATTTCCAAATTTATATTCCACAATTGAATGCTCCAAACTAGCTTGTAGAAAATGTATGCTTGCTATACCATATATGTTGAGAATAACATGTTTTTGATTTGTGAATTTACGCTGACAATATTATATTGTTTTTATTTTGATCAGAAAACGGATCCCATACACACATTCCCGGATAACGAAATTGCTTTATTCTTTTTTTCCTTCTTTTTTTTTTTTTTTTTATATAACAATTAATCATAGTGAAATTTTATATAACTAATATTTATACATTTTCATTCTATAGTGTGAAAGAGCCCATAACATATATAAGTTTAATAGATTGCGTTGTATCAACAAATATATTTTTTATTCAAATCATATCATATAATTTTATAATTAAAATTTTATAATTATTTATTATTATGTAATTAATTAATTTATTAAAATTAATATTTATGATTTAATTATCACATATGATGTGTAATAAATAATTAATTTTTTAATAATATGATTATAATATATAATTTGAATGAAAAAGATATATGCTACGTGATATAATTGTTAAATCCAACCATTGTTCAGAAGTTTAATGGTAATGTTTATTTCTTTAAAATAAATACGAGCCTAATCAATCATTTTTAGCAAACAATTCTTGAAATTAATTAATCACTTAATGTCATATTTATTGAAGGTATATATTATCAACATAATATTATATATAAAAAACATTGATTTGAAAAGTACATATAGAGAACGATATGTATATTTTTTGTAATTTATTAAATTAATTATTTTATTATTAATTATGATTTTTATTAAATTAAAATATTAATTAATTCTTTTATTTACATTGAAATCTTTATTAAAGTAAACTTTTCTTAATTAATATTTTTTTATTAAATTAAAATTTCATTTTAAATGATAATATTTACATATAATATTAATCACGTGCTAACGTAGGTAAATGTAGAATAACTATTGACATAAAATAGAAGATGTGGATAATTTTTGCACATGCATTTGTTCTAATCCTCACCATTTTTTTATGGGATAATGTTTCATATGACATTTAAATTATTGTATTATTTTTAATGTTATGCTTAAAAAAATTTAATTAAGTATTTAAATTACATTCTTTTATGTTAATTTATTTAACTGTTAATCATATATATTGACATAATATAAATATATAATAGTATATTAACACATATAAAAAAAGTAATTAATATTATATCATTAATGTCATATTAGTATTAGAAGAAAATATTTTTTAAGTCTAAAATAATTTTTAAAAATTTTTAAAATTCTAAAAATTCTCGGCCAAACAAGAACCAACAAAACAAGAGAAAATCAAACAAACCAACAAAAAATGAGAAAATCAAACAGAACAGAGGAATTTGGCAAACACAGAAGCAAATCAAGCAATCAAGGAAGAAGCAAAGCAAGGAATTCTTGGGCAAAGAAGCAAAAACAGAGTGATCAGCAAAACTCACAGTCTCAACAAACAGCTCCAACACAGCAAACCATTTTGAAAATCAGAAACAAGGATCCATCCCAGAAAATCGAAAAGTTGCTACCCAGTGAGAAACCCAGAAACCTATGCCCAGAAAACCCAACCTTGTACCTGCTAACCCACTCAACCCAGAAGTAATCACGTGAATCCTACACCAAAAGTAAACAACAGCAATTGGGCATACATAAGAGCACTTATAGCAACAAGTTTAGTAATTCACAGCCTAGAGTAACAAGAAGCAATCGACAGCACAATATTTCGACCGAGGTTGTGAATTTCGGTTTACGTCTTTTTGAAGTTCTCGGGTTTTGAAGGTAGAATTAGAAACCATAGGAAGCTAGGTTTTTTATGAAGATAGTAAACGATGAACGGTGCCAGATTCCGGTGGCGATCTGGGCTCTTTATTCTCTGGGTTGCAGCTGCGTTTTAATTTGGGATTGAAGGAGAGAGTTTTGTTCTTCGGATAAAGAGAAGAACAAGGGAGGAGGAAGAAGAAGACCAACGGTGGGCGAACTGATGATCGATAATGTCGGCGATCTTTGATGGTTTCTGGGCTGTTCACATTTTTGGTTTGGTGTTCTTCAAATTTTTAAAAAATTTTAAAATTTTTTTGAATTTTTATAAAATTTTAAAACTTTTTAGAATTTTTCAAAAAATTTTAAAACTTTTTAAAATCTTTTTGAAATTTTTTTTAATAATGATGCAACATTAATTTTATTTTTTTAATTTATATAAATATTTTATTAAATATTTATATTACATTAATTTTTAAAGTTAGTGTTGTTATTTATTATTGAAATAAATTAACATATATCAATAAGTGATTGGTTTAATTGATTAAAGTTATTTTTTTTATAAAGAGATATTAAATTCGAGTCTTACTGATAATCATTTGATAAGATTATTTTGAATGTATTATCTGTAACTATTTATTTTAAGCTATCAAATATGATATATTTTATTTTGATTTAAAAATTAAATAATTTATCTATTTTAAATTAAAAAAATTAACATATAAAAATATAATTTAAATATCTAATTAAAATTTTTTTATTTAAATATGACGTTAAAAAAATCTGCAATAGGTCAAGAGCAAAATAGAATATTATTATTTTTTATTTATAAAAGAATTAATATACTAGTAGTTTTTTTTTTTTTGGTCTTTTAATTCGTAGGCAACCGAATTTACTTTTTCAAAAATTTCAATTAAGTAGCTACATTATTATATAGTAAAACAGTAACTCTTTCTAATTCCTTTACGGGTTTATCCATCTCTTTTTATATATAAAAAGATTTGAATTTAAAATCTTTAAATTAATTGAAAAAGAAAAATTAATAATACATTATTCATGTTTTATTGGATAACTATTCCCCTTGATACGAATCTCTAACAAAGTGAGCTTTTTCTATCTAATTTACAAAAGTAATGACAACAAAAGGCACCGCATCTTCACTGTCATTTGTTTATTAAACTAATAATAAAATCATTTGGTGTTTTGCAGCCACCATTAATTCTGTCACATGTCGTTCTTCTTTACGTGACTTTCAAGACAAAAATATAGACAGTCTAAAGTGGGAAGTTACAGTAAAGTTGTACGCGTTTTTGTCTTGTTTTAAAAGAATGTCTGTTTTATTATAATAGTTTATGCCCTTTTCACTTGACCATTAATATTTAATTCTTAGTCTTAAATTCATGATTATAATAATAATGTTGATTAGGAACATAAGTTAGCAGGTGTTACATTTTATTCAATTATTATAAAATAAAATTAAAAAATTATACTGATTTAGTGTTAAGTAGTAATTTTATTTTTAATGGATAAAATAATTTTTCTTATCACTATCAGTGAAATTTTTTAATTTCACCGTTAAAATTAAGTGATTGATACTTTTTTATTAATTTTTTAAAAATACTTTAAAAAGTATGTATTATTCTAGTAATCTCCTTTAAAATTTAAAAATTTTATTGACAAGATCGTAGATATTTTTTATTTAATAAATAGTAAAAAGACATTAATGAAAGAATAGGATAAAGCTAAGATCATTTCCAAAGCTTAGTGGTCCATTTTCTCCTCCAAATTTAATTAAAATAGTTTTCTCAACTACCGAATGAAATAGTGACATGATCATGGATTGCTTCCTTATAATCCATCTATTTCAATATGCCCTTGGTGGCCCCAGTCCTCCCAAATGGGTGGTTGTATTGTTTGGAAGCCAATTTTTTTTTTTTTAAAGCTCGCAGTTTAAGATAAAAAAGAAATTATGTAAATATTGGAATTTAAATTTTAAATTTTTTAAATGTTATTTTTTTTAAAAAATAATTATATAAAATAATTTAATTAAATTTTAAATTCGTTTGGAGGCCACCTTAAGGAGAAATTACTTGTGAAAATTAATATTAGTAAATATATATATTTATAAAAAAGGACTAAGCTTAAAGGCATAAAAGAAGAGAAACTATTTTCGATAGGCTCAATTTTTTTGAGTCACTTTGTATTTTTCTCTAAAACTGAAAATTTGAGTTTTAGTTTGTTCAATTCAAGTTCTAACAGATTTAACAAGTGAATATTAATGAATAGCCATTTCCCAATTTTTTTATTGAGAAAAAATGTGGTCCTCAAGTCATGCCACCAAAAATGTTGCTAATCAAAAGAAGAATATTCTTGCTCTAGTGATCTTATCCATCTCTGGAATCATTAGGCTGTAAATGGAACAATACTAAATCACAAACACTTGGCACCAGAAATCACAAACGAAAATATAAATTAGAGGATGAGGGAAAAAGATCAGACAGATGATTCAACTCTGCAATTAAACTCAAGTGGCGATAGAATTAAACAAGCTTATTCTAGTCTGAAGTCAACAGCAAGCTCATTAGCATAAGGGGTTTGTGTGGTTGTGGTTGATAAAATGCATGACTTTTTTTCATGGTGGTTTGAGCACTCTCTCAATTGAAACATCATAACTCAACATTCTCGATCAAGAGATTAAAACAACAACAGAGTACTGTGTGAATCATTATCTACTAAAAGATGTTGACAAGAACAAAAGGTTCAACTTAATTTAGCAAGCTTTCAGGGCACAGATTGGTGGGTTTTGCCTTTCCAGAACCATTCATTCAACTGAAGCAGAGGGTGGTGGGGGTGTTATTATAGCAAACTTTTATTATGGAATGAACCGTGTTTTTTTTTTTTTTTAATTTTTATTTACTTTTTATCCTCTTTGATATAGTTCTCTTCTTCTGTTGGCACCTATCTAGTACTTCATAATCAAACCCCAGAAAGTTACCCTTAACGAGAAGAAGTGATAGACATGCACAAAATGGAATTAGCCCAGCTGCCAGATTCAATTTTGTTTGAGTAAGTTCTTGAAGGTCACCATCATGCTTTTCTCTTTCAGATTCTTTCCT